TATAATTTTGTATGGACGTTCTACGTTTCTAACTTTTCGATCTTTTATATATCGAATATCAAACGTATATATCGAATATATACGTGTATTAACATTAATTTAAAAACAACAACGAGAAGCATGAGAATTTATTCGTAATTTAAAAAAAAATGTGAATAAATTTCTTCTAACTATGAATTTTTGTTCAACTTTCAACCTTGAACTCAACTCAGGTCAAAATTCCAATTGCAAATTTTAATTTTAAAGAAATTTTCAACGATCATTCCCGTTTAAATTTACACACAAATTTTCACAAAATTTTCCCAATATATTTCCCAATACATACATATATATATATATATATATATATCTCGATCCCACTCGACAACGCGTTCTCAGTTTATTACAAAACACACGTCAGCTTGGAGCCAAGGCCCGGATCAGAAGTTTCCAATTAAAACCCTTTCCCTCCTCGGTTCAAACTTTCTACAGACTCGCGGATGGAATCACGTGGTATTCGGCTAATTAGAGAATTGAACGGTTTCATTACGGGTACTGGAACGAACGAAAGGATGAAAAAGACGAGCAAAAGCGTACGAAAGCGCGCGCGCGAAACTCGTAGCTCGGCGCAATGCTATCGGAAGTCGAACAATTATTCTCTATCCTCTTTGTCCCCCTTCCCCCTCCCTCTCCCCTCCCCTCCCTTTTCCTCTCTCCTCGCTTGTTTTCCCGCGAAAAGAACGGAACACAAGGTATTCGAGGTATACGAGTCGTGTAAACCAGGCGTTATTCCATGGAGGCGAGGTTGCGCTCGCTTGCTTTTACGACCAATTACACACACGTATCACCGTCACGTAAAGTATTCCCGAGCAATCGTTCGTTTCTTATCGTCACGGGACCCACGATCTCGAATCGAGTCGCGTTTTTCATCTTTCTCGGAGATTTTAAATTCTAGCGTTTCTCTCTCTCTGTCTTTCTCTCTCTCTCGCGCCATTTTTTCTTGAAAGGAATCGTTAAGGAACGGGAAGGCAGGTGGACGCGCGATAAAGGGTGATTTAATTTGTGATTGTTCGGACACCGTGGTTTCAAGTGTCTTTCTGGAAGAAGAGATGAAATGGAATAACTGGAACTCGAGATTTGTCAAAGGTTTTCCTTTCGTCGCTTGTGTCCATAATCCGTTTCATCTTGCTCTCTATTTATGAAATTCGTGATGCCTTTTTTTTTTTAGGAGGGAGGAATAATTTTAACTAACTCTCATCAGAAGGAATATTCGTGAAATTTTCGATCGTTCTATTCTGATTATTATTATTTTCTAAATTGTCGATACGATTTTTATGAAACGACGCGATCGAATGTGAGAATACTCGTAATCGTAGAGGCAATTTTTATTCGTGTATTAAAAAGGAGAATACACGGTAGGTAGTGTGGTATCAAGTTCGATAAATAAAGTAAAATAACCTCGACTATTTTTTTCTTCTTCTTCTTCTTCTTCTTCTTTTTTTTTTTTTTTATTTTCATTTCAACTTTTTGAAACAAAGCCAATAGAAGAGAGAATAATAAAATAAGTTGTACAGTTTCACGGCGGAAGATCGTAAATTTAGTATTTCCATGTTTTTCCTCCGTTTTCTCAACGGAATTATATTGAAACGAGCATTCTCGATTATTTATTATTTATTAATCACGTGTGAATATATTTATTTATACAGTAAGTTGAGAAGGAGTTTTAGATCGGAGTTTAGAAGGGACGAGAGATGATCGATCGAGAGTTCGATGGATAAGGATACAACTGATTGTTGATCGTTCTAGCAAGATCTTGGAAAGGAATTCAACGATAATGGTTTCGATGATATAGTCGCGCTATTGACTTCGTTCTGTTTAACGATTTGTGACTGGCAAATTTATACGAATGTCGCGATAAAAATTTAACTCCGTCGTGAATAATAAAAAATTTCCTTCCAGGAAATACGACTTTTTTTCTTCTATCTGTGAATCTCGTGAATCACCGCCCGTTCTCGATTGGATAATAATTCCTATTGCAAAATTGTGTATTGAAAAATTTTAATATTAATTAATATCCCGCAAATCGCGGATTGGACGAAATTTAAATATTGAAATTTAAATATTGCAGGATTTCGAAATTCGACAAACTCTGGATGGCTTTGGAAGATCATTGTTCATTCATACATGTGCGACTTGTAATCGTCATTCGCATATTTAAATAATTTATGCGTCGGATAATATGTAAAAAATTCGTTTTCAAGTAGAGAAAAAGAATCCTCGAAATAATTACACAATCCGCGAACTCTACTTTTCAAAATTTTGAATTTGATTCCAATATGCTATAACACACACACACACAAAAAAAAGAAAAATTACACCTAATGTAAAAGATCAAATTTCTAAATAACAAAAGCAAAATAATTTCGTAATTCAATTATTCAAAACGAAAGCTCGACACGAGCTATAAGAGATGCAGAGAATATTATAAACATTTCTAATAATAATAGGAAAAAGAAAATCCTTAAATTCTATATAGGACGAAAGATTTGAAGCACAGAGCGATATTACTCACAATCAGTCGACTGTTCAAATGGCACGGTAATCAGTGATTAGTATCCTCGCGAACTAACGCATCCACTTTTTCTCTTCCCCAGATAAAAGCAAGTTTATCGGCGAGGCGTCGAGCCTCAATAAATTTGAGCCGGGTCGCTCTTTATCGTAGCACGATTATCACTCTGCCTCCTGATAGCGACTTCCTTTTCCATATTGCGCCGCCGTTTGTTAACGCGCAAGTAGGTATTTCTGTGCCGCTCTTTCACGCATTATCCACGTGTGTGTGTGTGCGTGTGCGTGTGTGTGTGTGTGTATTGCGTAATTTTTTTTTCTCGTGTTCACGTTCGTTCGCGCGGATAGAATTAACGCACGAGACAAGAATTAACGAGGACGAGCAACCTCCCTTCGAATGGGAACAGATATGAATTTCACGGAGTTTAATTCAGCCTTTAGAAAGCTTGGATGAATTTTCCTTCGCGGGAACGAAAGAAGAAAATGCGCTCGAAATTTAGTCGGTAAAAATTGTAAAAATTTTCGTATGAATGTGTAATGGGTTATGCATATTATATATAGGGTTGTTATAAGCCTGGTTATTAAAGCCCGGGTGATTGAGATTACGGTTATGGTTACGATTATAGTTGTTGTTGTTACGTTACATTATTATGAGTAAACTATGGCTGATTATGATTTTATCAGAGAAGTATCATTAATTGTTAAGAAATTGTAATCGATGATTATTAGTGGCGATTTTTTTTTTTGTAATTAAGACGAGAACTTTGATTAGGAAATAAGGTATAAGGTATTTCCTCGAGGAGGATTCGACCTTCTGATTTATTTTGATAATAATGAAAAAGATATAAATAATTTGCAGATGCTTTTAATGACGAGAATTTTTACACGATTAGTAAGGATAAAATTGACATTGTTTCGATCGAATTTTCTTTCATTATTTTCTTTTGAAACTTCGTGAAATAGATAAATATAATAAAATTTCGACCAACAAAATTCCATTGGAAGATAGCGCAGGGTTTTATTTCAAGCCCTGTGTGATACCACCACCATTTCACACTCTGGATTTCGAGCAATTATATCGTTGGAACAGTCGTTGGAGATAGGAATAACGATGAACCGAATGTGGACACATGGGTAAACATTCGTGAAAACGCTGGGACCGAACTACAAAGGATCGTAATTAACGGAGCGGGCGATCTCTGGAGGAAGGCGAATGTGGAGGAGGGGAACAGGATGGGGGTAGATTTCAATCCCGTTTACGATCCATTACTGCTTTTTGTGCTGAGACGTAAAAGTCACGTGCTTTTGTGGTGAGACGTAAAAGTCACATGCGCCATGTGATGTGATTAAAGAGCGAGAGAACTTTTGCGCTTAGAACTCTTTTGAAAATTGTCTTCTGTCTGTCGCGTTGCGTGTGCCAAGAGTGGCGTTTTAGAGCGCTAGAAATTCGAAAAGAATTGGAGGAGCGTGACGTTTCGACTTTCGAAATGACGAAAAAAGATTCGATACTTTGAAAAAAAAAAAAAAAAAATTTAAGAAAATTGGAAAAAGAGGATATAATCGCGAGTACACTTTACAGTGGCAAAAATTAGAAAACAAACTAATCGTTTGCAAACTTTTTTTTCTACATATTTTTTACTATTATCTGAAATGAATACGTTGGAACTAAAATTAACTTAAAAAGACAATAATATTTTTTCTCGAATATGCTTGCAAAAAAGATGCTTAAATATAAACGGAAAATAAATTTTTACATTAACTTTGAGCTGTTTGAACTATTTATTCTTTCATTTCAATTTTTCCACCGTTTATAACAATTATGTATTTACTTAATAATTCGAGGAGATATCGTGGAATAAATATAAATAATTTAAGATCCAGTTAACAATTTTCGACTATTTAGGCAAAATTTCTTTCGATAATGATACTTTTTAGTAATAATTCTCAAGCGATTGATCAGTTGGCCATGGGTCATTAACACACCCCGTCTATTTATTTCCACGAGCGTTGTACGCCCTAAAAATTCGCGCCGCTATTTTTAAAACGTTCAACTCGATAAGACGAGCCGTGCGTGAATTATTATGTAACAAGGGGTGGAAGATGTCGATTAATTATAAGTCGTAGAATATATCGGGCAACGTTTATGCACGGAGCGGTCGAGGCTTGACATTAATGACGCAAACAGCCCCCCTACTTAGGGGTGGAAACCGTTTTGATTACATTTACGCCGCATTAGTGACAGCTTTGCCCTGTTGTTGCGAAGGGAAAAGACAGTCCGACAGTCTTTTCAGTTCTTATCAACTCGTTAAAACTTGTTTATACAATTTTAGAAAAACTGCGACTCGATTTTTGTCGATATCACGAAAGTTTTTCTGTGTAAATAAAAGTGTAGATAATTATTATATCTAATTTTTCTTCAGTCAGTATTTTATATTTGAAAATTGAAAGAAACTCACCCTCTCAAGTGTAATTTTCTCTTGCAATCCTTACACGTCAATATTACAGTCACAAGAAAAATCCTTTCTTTCGACGCGAATATTAAATTTAATTATAAACCATTGATCAAACTATACATTTTATAAATCAACACTATCTAATCCTTCTCATCAATACTCAATCAAAATAATCACTATTAAAATCGAAAAACTAAACTAGCCACAAAAAATCTTCATCCCTCCACTCGAACTAATAATTTAATTTAATTACCTAATCGAAAACCCTAATCTGTTCGTCAAAACAGATTTTGAATCAACCACCTCGGCACAACAACTTCATAAATTTATTCTATCCAACACAGATCCACAGATACCCGTCTCGAACGTGTCTATTAATTCTGTAATGTTGTACTTGATCTTATCGCTTGGCCGCAAATCCGACCGACCCGATCAATTAATAAATTACAAATTTCCAGTTTCCAATCGAGTCACGTTTTCAAATAAACCCGGAAACCAGCGACCTCCAACCAGTTCCCCATCGACTGGCACTGGAATTCTTGGAGCCGCGGCATCGCGATTTCTCTATCGCGAAACACGAGGGGGGAAACGAGGACGATTCGTACGTGGCCGGCCAGGTTGTAAATCATCCTTCCTGTCAAGCGGTGGATCGAGGGGGAGATCCACGAGAGCGCGTTAGACCGTGCAACTTGGAATTTCAAATCGCGATTTCTTGTCGGCCGGGGGCTCTCCAGGCCTCCTCGATCGAGCGATAAATCAAAGGATGCCGCTTATTAGAGTCGTGACAAAGACACTCTTCTCTTGTTTCCTCTTTGAAGAGAACGCGCGGCAGGCAAATTCGATCGTCGATTCGTGTTCGATCGAGACGAGGATACGGTTTACGTTCATCGAGAGGGGAATTGACGGGGTGAATTGAAACGAGGTGTCAGCAATGAAAGGGATATTGCGGTGGATATTGTTGGTGGTGATTGGGGGAAGATTGGGGGCGGGGGGATGCCACGAGTTGGGAATAAATTGGGAATAATTGGAATAAATGATTTTTGGGAATTTTTAAATGTGATAAGAATCGATGAAGTTTGCAAGTTGATTTTTTGTTGAATTTTGATCTTAAGGATCGATTCGAGAAAGATATTATTATCGATTATGGCGATGAAAATTGAAAGAATTTGAGTATTTTTAGAAATTTTTTTGATATTTTGAGGATCGATGAAGATTTTTGCCAATTTTTGAAGGATGCTGCAAGTTGTAGTAATAGAGATTAGAATAAAAAATATCTAGGTATTTTTAGGAATTTTTAGATGTTAATATTTTTTTTATTAAATTTATAATCTTAAGGATCGATCGAGAGATGTTATAAAAGAATCGAAAGAAGTTTAAGTATTTTTGGATATGATACGATCTCGAGGATCTTGATGATGAAGTTTACGATTGATTTTCAAGTTAAATCTAGACAGGGATTCGTGAATTACTCGAAGATCATAAATTTTACACGAAGACTGGCGTGACCCATATATGTGGCTAAAAGATAATGTTAATAACTTTTCTATCGCGCTCTAATATCTGTTTTCTCATCGTGGAAATGGAACAATAACCTCGTGGAAAAAATTGATTGTTAAAAGTTAGCGTAGTAGAAACTTTCTTGTAATAATTCCTTCATGTTTTTAACATTAAATAATTCTAATAATAATGAAAATATTATAGAAAAACGAGATAAACTTTCTTTGTATAAAAAAAATTATCTTCTGACAAAAAATATTTAAAATATTTAATTTAAAAATTTCTAAATTATAAAAAAAGATATATATATATAAAATAAAGACACGAGGATATTATTTTCAAAAATTAATTTCGAGATAAACTATTTATTATTTAATAATTATAATTTAATAAAAAAAACTTTATTATATGTCGAGGTTGTCAGATTTTAAAAATTTCCATCGTTATAACCGGAAGATCAAATATATATGTATATAAAAGAGATAAAAATACGACAAAAAAAAATAAATTATAATTAAATTCAATTTTGATTATAATTCTACGTAACGAGATTAAATTTCATTAAAATTTTACGATCTATTCTTTTACTCCGACTTATTTCGACTTTTAACTTTGTTAATTTCTACTTATTCAAAGAAAATGAAAAGTTATGATCATATATAACTTTTATGTGACAAGAAAAATCCTATTATAATTAGAAATAGTAATAACTTCATCTTCAAATGAAAGTTAATTCATAAAGCCGATCTTTAATTATCTTTTCCAACTCCGATCAATCACGATTCTAAAAGTGATCGATATCACTTTTAATAAAAATAGCTCCATTATACGTAAAAATATAAACTTTTATTCTCTCGTGGAATCAATTTCAACAAATTATACCACATAAAAAATTCCAATTATCGATTCAATATAACTATATCATACCTTCTTCGATTCAACTCAATCACAATCGTCGCTCTTCTTCCTATCGCAATTATATTTTAAATCCTAAATCTTCGCATCAAACTTTTCCACTACCTTAATCCCCAACACAAAATCTTCAATTTCCAATCAATCTTTTCACCCCTAACAACGAGAATTCCCACTGGTCTCTCGACAAATCCCCAATCAACATCTTAAATTCCTAAACATACCACAATTAAATTTGAATCCTTCACTTACTAATATCTTTCCAACCAAACTTTTCTCACTACTTTGATCTTCGATTTCCACGAAAAAAGCTCCGATCAATCTCTTCAAGCACAGAAATCCTCTCAAACCCTCCTCTTCTTCTCATCTCTCCAATTCCCACACTCATCCCTCGAACTTTCCAAACGCACCACAATTAAACTTCACCTCAAAATCTTCACAACCGAATTCACAATATCTTTCCAACCACTGCTTCAATTTTCACAAAAAAAAAAAAAAAAAAAAAAAAAACAGAATCCTCTTAGTCTCATCGTCGCACCTGAATTCTCTCGACAAACGAATAAACAACCCCTTGCACGCAAAATTTAAAATTTCACCACCATCATTAAACCTTCACATCATTTCAAACATCTTCGTTACCTCAACTTTCAATTTTTCCTCCTCCCTCTAGAAGCTATCACTCCCGATCGACCCTCCTCGCACCCGACGCACCCACGAAAATCTCTCCCTCTCCCTCGCTTCCACACTTCCCCCTCCGCGATTCATCCCTCGGGAAGAGACGAAATTCCTCCCCTTCTTCCCCCTAAAAAAAGAAGAAGAAGAAGAAGAAGAAGAAATCCAGAAGTTCCCCTCGGCGAACTCGTTCCTTTTCCCTTCCCACGCGAACCGACGCGAAAAAGTGTCGAAAAGCTACTGTGCGTGGCCCTCCCCCACGAGTCGGTTTTTCCACGAGTCGGGCGGCGGAAGCACGTGTCGCGATAAGCGAGGCGCGGGACGAAACGAGCGGGTTGATAATCGCGCGGAACACGAGGAGCAACGGGGAATCGCTTTGTGGCGACTATTTGCGGAGGCAGGCAGGCAGAGGAGGTTGGAGGCCGCGGGAGAAAGGGAAACCGGCGGCGAGCGGGGAGGGGTGGCGCGCGCGTTTCAGAAAAAGGGTGAGGGGGAGAAAAGCGTATCGGGTTGGAAAATATGTTGCTCGCGGAACCGACGCGTAATACCCACGCATCCCTCCTACCTTTCTCTTCACCCTCCTCTCTCCATCCCTTTACTGTTTCTCGCCCGTTCTTTTCTCTCTCTCTCTCTCTCTTTCTCTCATTCGTTTCTCGTTTTTTTTTTCTTCTTTCTCTTCTGCACTTTTTCTCGATCATCGTCGGATCGAGGAGCACATATATTCGAGTATTCGGATTTGATCGATTATTTTAGCGTATAATTAAAAGCTGAATGTGTAGACGTTTGTTAAATCTATGTAAATAAGATTGTAAAAAATTTTTTTTTTTGGTTAATTTCATCGTTGAATTCCGTTCTTTTTCATATTGAAAAGGGATTCTTTCCTCTTCCTTTTTGCTATTGAATTTTTTTTTGTTTTGGAAACTCAAAGAGATTATCGGTAAAATATTCGATTAATGAAAATTAATGAAAAAAGTGGGAAATTTTCAATGAGTGAGAAAATTTCTTCCAGGCTGTATGCTTGGAATCACTGGAAACGTTCGGGGGAAGAGAAAAGGCGAAATTCATTATCCACGTGTACACATCACGTGTGTACACTCAGCACGGGGGAACAAAGAAATATAAAATGAGAGTAGGAGAGGTGGGGAAAATGGCGGGCGAAAATACGAGAGGGATAACGAAATCTCGGCACAGTCGATGAACCCTTACAGGGATCGAATCGTTTAAACGCATTTAACGTTTCACGTCGTTGTTTCCTTTTTTTCTTTCATCGAGATTTCGCGGATTACTCGAAGCGGATAGGACGCGCAGTTTCCGCTCTGATTGTCCGAAAGGAAACTCAAAACTAAGTACTTTTGTAGAATATTTTACCACTTTTGACAAAATATTCGATGATTTTTAATTTTTTTTAAAAGAGTTTAAACAATCGTAGAATTTTTTAGAATGGTTAAAATTTATAAAAAAAAGATGTATATCATTGAGAGTTTCGAAAGAAATTGTGTCGATTAAACGATTCTTTTAATTGGAAGGATATTATAGAAAGTTTAACGTTTTTTTTTAATCACTTCTAATCGTACAGTTTCGTTTGGAAACTAGTTAAAATTAGTTTAGAATTTATAATAGAATTAAATATCACTGGGATATTCATTTCTCTTCTCTTTTTTTTTTAGCGAGAAAGATATTTAATACAACGAACAATCGTTAAAACAATTTTCATTACGAAACTTGATAAAACAATCCGATCGAATATGTTTCGTTCCGAATATATTAACGAACTTGTGTATTCTCTTTCCAAAAAAAAATACGTAATTGAATTATATCGTCAAATATTCAACTTTATTATAATGAACCGAAGTGAATGAATTTTTCTTTCGTATATATATATATAATAACCAACACCGTATAAAAACAGGAATAATTTAATCTTTGGGAAATGGAATTAAATTCGCGCTACGAAGATCATACTTTTCGGTCTCGTGTAATTTGCTAAGAGTAATTCGTCTGTGGATAATTCGAGCAACGCGATTAAAAATTAACACGTAATTTCAACTGACAAGTACGAGTTTTCCGCGACGATAAACGGAGGGGAATAAATTATTCCTTTGTTCAAACGCGTATCGTTATATGTTGTGCAAATTTTAATTTAATTTTTTTTTCTTTCTTTTTTTTTTTTTTTTTCTTAAATAGAACCGATTAAACACGAGATATTAACGACATACCTGAATATATTAGGAAGTGAACACGATGATGAATAGCACTCTTGGGAAATAAGTATAAGTACGAAGCTATCGGATTAATTTAATGATCGACGCGAACGAAGTCATCCACCATGGAATATTTAACCGCGTATCGTATCGCGTAAAATTCGATCTGAATTTGCTTGGCCCGTTCCATCGTTTAAACGAGCCTCTCTTTTGTCCCGTGATTAATGGTACAAAAATTTCGAGGCGTGCAAATATCGCGACACGATCGAATGAGGAGAACTATATCGATACCGATAACGAACGAGTTGTTCTGATTTTTCGACGAATCGAATCGAAGGTAAATATTTGAAAGAATCGTAACGAAAGAGAATATTATTTTACCAACCACTCGAACGTACTGAAATGAGAATTTTCGAAAAACCAGACCCAATGGATTTTCATAATAGCGGATTCGAATAAGAGGAAAATGT